TCCTACAAATCCGAAATGAGCATGGAATGGAACTGCAAAATATCAGAATGGAATACCGGAATGAAATAAATATCATAAATGAACGTCAAAGCACAATAGCCCATACAACTGAAACTTATCAGCGCCAGCTTTGTGAATTGGAAGATAAATATCTGAAGGCAACGAATGCCGTAAATACTCTTATGCATGAACATCAATCGGAATTACAAGATATCCGTGACCGACACCTAATAGCAACTGGGGAAATTCAGTCAAAAAATAAACATGAAATTCAAACCATTAAGGATTGTTATCAACAAGAAATACGAAGCATTCATGATGAATTTCAGCATCAGATTACTTATTTACGAGAGAGTTATGATAACGCCGTACACGATTTAAATCGTCAATATCAAGAAATTGAAAGTTTAATGACAAAGAATGCAAATGATTATCAAGTGGAGTTGAAAAATACCCAATACCAGCATCAAAACGAAATGGAAAAGATGGATTATAAGTACATGAAAGAAATAAAAAGTCTACAAAGCCAGCATCAAAGAGATATAGAGACCATTGAAAGCATTCACTCATTGATTGCTAGGGAGAAAGCATTGGCTAATCAACAAGCAGAGGTATTAAATCAGCAGACACTGGAATACGAGCGTAGCAACGATAACTTGTATAAGCAATTCGAATCGGAGAAAGAAACGATTATATCTCAGTATCAAGAGATACTACATGTAGTTGAAAAAGAAGAAATAGAGATTGTTAAGAATTTATTTTATGAGCTTAAAAAGGAGAAAGAGAATTTCCTTAGTTATTATGATGAAAGATTAAATCAGTTATGTATTGAGCAAGATCACATCTTGCAAACGCTGTTATCAAATTCGAGCAAGGAGTGGAAGGCTTTGATAAGTCGGACTGGAGATAAATTGAGCCGGCTTCGCCAAGAATGCAGATATGACATCGAAAAATTGCATTTTACCTTTCCAGAAGAAAACGATGGCAGTGACTGCAGTGGAAACCTAAATCGGTTGGGAATCGAACAAGAATATAAGAACAATAATATAAGTTATCAACCTAGAAAAGTATGGAAATTTTCTGTGCATTTCTATGAAGGTGAGTTGAGTCAATTAAGGTTAGAACAGGAAAATATAATCCAGAAATTATACGCAATACTTGAAAAAGAAAAGGAAGCTGCCGGTGATAATTGTAGCAAGAAGCTAGAGACTGTAGGGATAGAACAAGAGAGTATTTTACAAAGCTTCAATTCCAAAGCTAGAAAAGGAACGGAATTCTTACGAAATACTTATCAGGAAAAGTTAAAGCAATTAAGAATAGACCAAGTAGATGCTGTTCGAACTATTCTTTCTAGAATAGAGAAGGAGAATTCTAAGTTTGTAGGTATTTGTTACGAGAATAAATGCAATAAATTAAGGCTAGAACAAGATTTACAAATTCATAATGATAAGGGTGCATTAGGATATGCTTGTTTAGATCACATCAAACCATCTGTAAACTTGACAGATAATGAGACAGTTACGGACATTTATAAGAATGACAGATTCACACGCTTGACAAATTCAAACCCAGAGAAAGTTGGTAAGAAAATACGAGATGAAAGTGATAGCTTGACACCGAAAGATATTATAATAAATCTTGGTAAGTTTACAGAGGAGATTAGCGAGGAAGATAATTGTAATCAAGAAATTGAATTAGTTGGAAATAATGATTATGACGGCCATAGCATATTGTCAACTTCCTCGTCCAGAGCAAAGATCAAGGAAAGCAATGACGGTGACGATAACTGTAAGTTTCACTTGAGCACAGCCGAAGCTGTTATTGGCTATCAAACCTGTAAGGAAGATGATAATTACGAAAATACTGAGGTTTTTGGAGAAGACAGTGGAGAGAAAATTGTTGGGAACGATATTAGTACGTTACTTTATAATTCAACTAAACATGAATCTGTAGAAGATATTCGGAAAGATATCAAACGTCAGCTAAAGGCTAGCATAGTCGAAATGGAAGTTGAAAAAACTTGTCAAGAACCTGATTATAGCTTAGTAGATTCCTCAGAAAGTTTGATAAGACAAAATGCGTGTGACGATAAGAGTGAAAGGTTTACGTCTAATTTGGATGGAGCAAAATTTGGAAAGGATGGCAACGCTGGTGGTATTCCGGAGTTAACATCTAAACTAACTGACAATAAAATTAAAGATGAAATTTGTGAGAGCTATACAATTGAATTAACAGCTAATGCCTGCTTCAATGAAAGTCTACACGAGATTCGTGATAGCTTCAGTAATAAGGATGAATCCTATCAATTGGATTGTAGTTCAGTTGGAAGCATTGTGTCCGAAGAAATTCAGGAAGTGATTGCTGATAATTTAAAGTCCTATTCAAACACCAGTTTTGCAAGTATGGAAGCGCGTGACACCCATAAACTTCGGCCGAGACGCCGTTTTTCAGAAACGGAAATCATATATAATCATGATGATAATAATGGTTCCTTGCATCTTGAAAAACTTACGTTTTATAGCATGGATAACATTTCAATAAAGTACCAAAATCAAATTGAAGGTTTCGACAAATCTGAAATTTATGCTAAACGGTTGTATTATAGTGCAAACAATGTAGCTTTGGATGAACTTCATCAGTCTATGAATAAAATCGACCATCAATCAGATGAAAGCCAAATCACGTTTTATAGCATGGAAAGTTTATCGATTGAAGATCAAAAGAGTCCTGGAATATTGAATTTATCCTTGTCGGATCCGTCAGTCGCGAATTATCAATCAGGAAATCAGTCTCAATCTACTTTTCCGGCATTACTCAATGAAATGGATTGTAACCACCATTCATCTAACTGTAATGATAATATTCCCCTGATTGAAACTGTCCTGCACGTAAATCTATCAAATAGTCTAGAATCGACAGCTAGCTCAATATGTGAAGAGGACACTGGACGTGAATATACTCCTTTGCAAGAAGATAACATTGATCGAGATTGCCTATATAGAAGCATTCCACTGAACCAAGAGTCAACCGGTATTGCTCTCCATGACGATTCAGAAGAGCTTTCGTCTCGCAAGAATGTTGTGAGCCATAATGAAATAACCCCAACTTACGTAGGATCAGAATTTACTCTCTCAGATAGAGAGGATCCGAATGCACACTCTTCTCGTTATGATATAGAGGAACAAGAGAAAGTTGCTTCAATTTGTAAGGAATCCGAATACCTTAACGCAAATACACACGCTACCAGTTCTGTAGATTCAGCATATGCTAAAAACGTTCAAGATGAGGCCCATATACGTCTTTCTCACTATGAAGATACAGATAGCTGTGATGAGCGTTCATCTGTTTACTTAGAATCTAATTTTAACCTTCTATCTGACAGTGATCCGGACGGAGACAATACGAGCGGTGAAAGTGAATCTTTTCGTATAAAATTAAAGCATTTAAATCATCGGATCAGATCGTTATCAAAAAGCTCGCATAAAACGAGCATACCTAAAAATCCAGTTAAGATTGTCTTGTTTGGTCATTCAAATGTCGGTAAGACTGCAATAGCATGTCAGTATTGTAAAAAACGTTATCCACCTGACAGAAGCTCATATAGATCCAGTCAATTTAAAAAGATACTAAAATTTGGTCAGTACTCGATCAAATTAAAGATAATTGTTAGTAAATTAGCAGCAAACTCAGCACTATCTAGCTACCAATCGATTTTACAGGATATTGATGGTGTAATGTTAGTATTTTCCGTTGACGACTGGCAATCATTTGACGATATTGGTAATTACTATCAAAGTTTAAGCCAAGTGACTGGAACCGATTTTCCTTGTATTATTGTTGGTAATAAGAATGATGCAAAAAGCTACAAACGGCAAATTACCTTTCAAGAAGGTGAATTATTGGCGAGTTCATTTCAACATCGATATATTGAAACATCGGCAACAACGTACTCTAAAACTGAACTTGCATTTGTTCAATTAATTCAGACTATCGCTTATATGAAAACGGCTGAGTCGTTAGAAGATCAACAATGCGTAATAACCTAATCAGAAAATTAACAATTTTGTATCGGCAAGTACATTTAGATTTTAATTTAACAGTAAAGCTACCACCGACATCTTCAGCCTATCATTTTTAATTGGACTTCCTTGTATTATAGTTAAGCTGGTATTACATCATTAGACTTCGTTAGAGGTTAGTAAAAGTAGTCTTCCATAGTTACGCTTTTCAAAAGAAAGCATGGAAAATTCATTGCTAAATGTCGTATATCTTAATATGTTCAGCATCCTGGTAAGAGAAAAAGGTTTTGAAACCCAGAATGGTAGCTTAAAATTTGTAAATGGTGTTTTATCTGCTTACAAATCGCTGACTAATTTATAAGATGGATTAGTAAGTTCTTCTGTACTCTGATTTGAGGAGCCGATCGTTTACCTGACAGCGACACAGTATATCTTTGTGTCTTTGATATCTGTCCTACTAAACAACGTAAAGATTTTACTAAAATTGTACGCTGTACAGAAGAGAAATAGCTTTGTAAAAATGAGAATGAAACGGTTTACGTATAGCAAATATCTAGTGGGTAAATGTCATGATTGCTGTATCATTGCGTTATTATTATTAACCTTCCACAACATTTATTGTCTATCAGCTATAATAGACGTAATTGCACCAGTACTTATTAGTAATTACGGTTTTAAAACTTTCTACATTAAATTTTCCTAGAAAAGGAATGCGGAAATTCCATTAATGTTATTATTATTTAATAAAGATTGCGTACAATGTAAAAAAAACATATAAATCTAGCCTAGCAGATAGGAATAGAATTGTTATATGTTTAATCCAAAATAAACTTATTCTTCTGTTTTGCATTAATAAACTAATGAATATAATTGTGATGACTGTAGAAGAATTTAGTATGCATTCGATCTTTACGAATTGGAAAACGATATAGTAATATCTGCCTCGTTATTTATAATTAGTTCGAATTATGAGGTTTGAATTTACTGTTTTTTGACAAGTTTACAAGTTGACGATTTGCCAGATTTAGCTTTTATTTTATTCATAGGTGGGATGCCGTAAGTCCTAAGAAAAGGATGATCGCTTGAAGTAATAGGTTGATTTAATTGCTCCTTTGAAATTTGACCAGCACCACTTGGATCGCATCGTATATACCCTTCAGCTAAAGAGCTAAATCCTAGGAATATTAGGATGTATTTTAGTAATATAGTAGAGAATTGTTTTGGCCACTGAAATTAATCTAATATTAGTTCTATTACCTGTTAAACCTCCCATAGCAATATACGGAACGTCGTCTTTACTAACAGGGTGGCCACGATTTTCTCTTTCCTCTTTGGTTTCAATAATTGTCTGATGTTTATTAGCGAGTTCACCACACAAGCATGTATAGGAAGTTTTAAATCCTAAATTAATCAACAATTGAAATTTATCTCTGAGCTGATTCTCGACAAGTTATTCGTTTATTGTAACTAGTACTAAATTGAAAGGTACCAAATACTGTAAAGCTAATATCCTACAGAAAATCAGGCTATAAATGGGAATAGTATATTAATACCGACAATAGTTAGTGGTCTGAAATGTAGTATTGAAAGTAGTATCTGATCTTCAAAGATGTGTACTAACGTAAACTTACTTGTCGTTTTCTTTTTGCAGCATGTAATGATTAATTATAATATTTATAAATATCATTTATCCGCTTTAAGTCATCATAAAGAGGAGGCTAATTAATTAAAGTATATTTCTAAATTTGGTCATCCGGCATAACTTGTTCCGTGATATTATTTACCTTGACATTGTTTGCTACCACAGTTGCTCCTGGCACACTTGTACGGAGATTTAGGTGAATGTTCATTCGATGGATGCTTGCAAGCGCTACACTTTATGTGCTGTGAGCCCATTGCGGGAATGTAATGATATGATTTACACAAACATCCTTTTGCTCGGCATGGCATCGCAATTGGTCGTTCAGATGGAATAACTTCAAAATCGGTCTTATGTTGTTTATATCTAGAATAGATTGGATAGTCGTCAGTTCAAAACTAATTCAGGATCTGCTGTAATATTTATTGACAATCCTTATGTCTAAATTGAAGGAGGAAAGGATACAGCATAACACGATGATAAAAGTAATAGATTGCAACCAATGTTAGCAACGATGAGTGTTGTTCTGACCTATGTGTACAAAAACATGGTGTTTCTGGACCAATCAATTTACAATCGATGCCAGTAGGGGAAGTCCAACTCACGTATAACCGATTTTTAGCACGTATAGGTAGAACTCTTTTTTTATATTTCTCGTACTCCTGAGGTGTAAACAACTTGCCACCATCGTCATCACCTACAATTCTATGGAAGTGGAATGGACACAAGAAACGATACATAAATGTATTAACTTCTGAAACTCGTTTCTAATGGAACGGTTCATCTATTCGTATATACAGCTTAAGTCTATATTGTTATTTCGCTTAATGCCTTTCTCTTATAACGACAGTTCATTAACAATTTGCAATGACTAAAATATATCGAAATTGTAAATTTTACTTTGTTTCTTATACTTGTTATAATGACTTGCTTAGAGCTTCCATTGGCTTAGAAAGGATACAAACGCTCTAAGTAATTGCTTCATGCTGACTTATCCTAGTAACTACTGTATATAGCTTTTTAAACGATAAACTGAAATTTTATGTTTATGTAATTTTAAAAGGATTTGTACTTGGATTTAGAATTGATGATGATAGGTCAAAGAGTTAGATATCGTTAAAAAATAGACTAGCTGCTATTAATAGTTATAGCTATTTTATGGCATAAAACATTAAAATTTAGAAATCAGGCTACTTTAACAGATATTCTCATTACAAACGGTTAGTTTAAATTTGTTTAAAATGAACTTAGTTACCATTGAACGCACCTTGTGTATTCAAAGTAGTCATCGATGGCTGCCTTTGGTCCGTAAGCCATGGTTTATAAACTTATTGCAACGATTACTGTCTATTCTTCACCTTATTTTAGATTTTGGTAGAATTTATAAATTAATTCATATTACTGGGCGTTTGCTTATATGTTATGTTGCTTGGAGATGAAATATTATAAATAATCGATTACAAATGTTTTAATTTATTGGACTTTTCGTTTCTTGTGACTGACTGAATGACAGGCTGATGATATTAGTAGAATGTGCTAATAGAAAATTTCTCGTAATTATGAATGCTAAATCTTAAGTTAGCAACCCTTAAAGACTATTCGATGACACAATGTAATACATACATTTAATAGAAATATAGCAATTACTACAGGTCTGCGGCTAGATGAAGAATTTCGTTATGTACCGAACACTTCTACGAATAAACATAAACATACAGTACAATAGAGGTAATTAAGTAAGTAACTAACAATAAATGCCCAGTTGTACTAATTGGAAAATTGTTAACTACTCATACATCATCGTACAATACAATAAATTGACTGGATTCGACTAGAACACTGTTTGCCACTGGACGAAAACATACTAATAAGGGCGCGTACGTACTATGCATACTGTATTATTATACGTACTAGTAGATCCTTAACCCGTCATATTTCGCTTACTATACTTGTGCTTTTTACTTTACTGTATAGTGCAATGTGCAGTAGCTCTATATTAGTTGTAAATTTGTGATTTACACTATTGTAATTATAGGTTAGTACTATAGTAGTTTAACATATCGAAACCCCACCAGCTCGTTGATAACTATGCTACCAACACATTAATTATAGATTCTAATCCCAATATACGACATGTTTGTTATAGATTGTGACCCGACGATCGAATTTTGTTTGTCATAGTACTGATTGATGTAAGGTATATCGACAACTCAATTATGAGTGACATGAATGTAGTCCATCTTATCTTTCATTATAAAATCGATAAAGTAAATTAAGCTAAATATAAAATTTAATTTGAAATAAATACCTATATAACATATACGATAATAAAATAATTTAATATACTGTAACATATATAATTAGGATTACAGTACATTAAAAGTCGAAATACAGGCACGTTGCCTGAATTTAAAATAAAATAATAAATCCAATCATCATAAGGTAACATGATGTTGATTCATGTAATAAATGATAGGAATGAAAAAGATAATTAAAGTTGATGTATGATTATATCATAGTATACAACTGCATTTTTACAATATATACTTATCGCATACAAGTATCCCATTTGGGAATATCTTATTGCAACAAATGCGATAGACTGTTGCTGTTATTAAGATCATAATAACGAACTATAAATCAATGTCAAATTTACAGCTAATATAAAATTGAATAAAAATTAACTCAATTATATTACATATATATATATAAATTAATTAGTCACTAAGAGAAAATATGTCATACACTATATGTATTCGAAGTTACTTGACTGAATCATCTAATTGGGTATAGAAGTTATTTTAATTACGTGATATCGATTATTCTCAGTCTATTGAGTACAATTGAGTACAAAATTTTTACAAGTGTTAGTAGAATTAATCAATATCTTTTATATCTTTCTCCCGCATTAATAACGTTTGCATCTGACTTTTACTTTTACATATTTATATTACAGTTATTAAATACAGAATAATACTATTAATATAACCAATTAAATTGGAGGTAAGATTAGTCTCTTTTGTCCTGCTGCACCGTTGTCTTGATTAGTATTATTACTAGCAGTCATACTTGTTTGATTGACCTTCATAACCGTAGCAATGGCTAAGCCTTTATGAACTCGATTATTAGATCGCGTTAATTCACCACTAGTAGTAGTATTTATTATTGCCTTTGATCCTTCATCACTGCGGCTTACTCTATTTCCATGTACTGAAGGTAAACCAGGTGCCGTTAACGATGTTAATGATGTTGTCTAGAAGAATAAAAAGACGCAGATTATTATGAAACTGACCAGTCTATAAATAGTAAAGAAACGAAAGAATGTGTAGTTTAGAATCTGCTTACAGCCCTATATTTACAACTGAGATACCTTTCTAAGCTTTCTTGTTAATGAAGATTTGCGATTGTTTTTTTGGCGATCTTCTGCACTAAAACTTCTACTATTATTTGATGATAAGGTGTTTTGGTTATGTTCAATCGATGTTGCTACCCCTTGTGCTACAACGGCCATATTACCGGCTCGTTGTAAAGGCTTAGAGGAGCCATATTTCTCCTTATGTTTTGGATATAACGGCGGCCGAGACATTTTTTTATCATGTCTAACTTGAATGAGATCATTATCACGATGTGGCCTGTACAATTTTATATAACTTTCGGTTAGCGTTCAATTTTAAATCATATGAGCTACCATATCGACACTAATTGCTTACCCGGTATCTGATATTTGTAAACCCGCTCCACTTAAGGTAAAATCTAAATCGGTATCTGGCCTTACACTGTGATCTCTATTTCGATGGCGATGAACAACGCTGCGCTGATGAAATGCATGTTCATGAGATAGATTTTCAGCTCGGTGCCTTTGTAGTTGATTAGAATCCGTCCCAGATTGATTAATTTGAACGGCGGTTACTGCTAAAGATGGAGCTTCTATTGGATCTAGTTATTAAAATGATCATACATCTGTTATCTATGCAATTATAATAATTAATCATTAATAGTTGCCTAGCAGACCTTGACGATGATGTCTTTGGCCACGATTATGATGATGTCCTGCTTTACGTCGATTGTTACGGTTACATCTACCAATACTAGTAGCTCCATCGAGGACAGGGTTTATAATTTCGCCATCTATAGGACATGATGATCTTTCATGCATTAACCAATGGTCTATACACTGAACATGAAACTGTATTGATGAAAAGAAGATATTGATTACCTACGGGAATTATACTTAAATATGGCAATATGTGTATGCCAGAAACAATTAACAAGAAGAGTAAAATTTTACCTTATGTCTACATGGAAGTTTTCGTACGTATTGACGAATTTGAAATGGCAGCATACAAATTCTACATTTAATATCTTGATTTAAGAGTGGGTTGTCAGAATTTATAATTTCAATCGGAAAGCGTCTGATAACTTCTTCAGGTAGTGTATCAACTTGATTTTGATCGATAGCACTAAAGTTTTGGGGTTGTACGATATTCAAAGTTAAGAAAGTCGTTAATTATAAAAATTTGATAATGTCAGAATGTGTCGTTGGTACTAATTAATTATGTAATCCATTTCATTTAATGTAAGATTATTTTTTAATAAATTAAGGCTGTCAATTTTATTATCGTTACCTATCTAACTGTAGCAATAATTCATAATCTTCATTCTCAATTTCACGGTTAACTAAGTCAGCAATAACTGCATCCGGTAATGTTTGTCCAGTTATTCGTGGAGCTTGTTTCCAGCGTTGCGAACTTTTCTGGATAAGCATAAATTTAGCAACAAGTTATTTATCAGCTGGTCTCCCCTTTTAGCATACTAGATATGACAATACTATATTTGTGTAGGTATTAACATCAAGCAGTATTATAACGGTGATCAATTAATTTACCTCTCTATAGTTAAAGGAATGCTGACTGTGAATTTGTTGCGCATAGCATGCATGACATAGATTGTAGTCGTAGCAGATTGCACATCTATAAGTTAAAGTGTGATAATTAGCATCATTTAAGTTCTTATAGACTTATCAGTCACGTATTGAAAACCACTTTTAATGCAATTTCTAGATTATAATCAATTAGAAATTTACCTATAACAGTTTCCTGCAATTGGACATTGACGACAATTATTGCATGTAACACCTAGATGGAAATTTCCTCTTTGAGCTCTGGTTTTAAGTTTCGATGATTGACGCATTTCTTCCTTAATGGCCTAGAAGGGATGACAGCATATCAATTAGGCTAGTTAACAGTATATTGATATGACATTGCAGAACGTATAGCAACCATAAAGCAAATTTTTGAATACTGTGAACAATTTTTAAATTATATGTAATTTTGATATACTGTAATATGAAATTTATTATTTTTGTAACTGAGCTGACCGTACTTTACGAGTCTTTAAAGCACACAATAAACAATAACAATAAAATGATACAAGTTATATTTATGTTTGTATGTGAAACTGAAAAATTGAATAGCACCAGTAAGTACCTGTAAAGAACCAAAATCTTCTCTACAAAGTGGACATTTGATTGTTGCTTCACCAACTGTTTTTTGATGTTCTGCCCATATCTTAATACATTTAATATGGGTATTATTACCACAACCGTATCTATTTATCAAGATGTACCCAAATGAGAATAATTTATCAATGAGCAGTACAGGTATCCGTGGTTACGTTGAAAGTTATTATACAAATATAGATAGAGCATCCATACTTGCAATATGTTACAGGTTCAGATGTATCGAGTAGCTCTTCTTGACAAATTGGGCAGACATCTTCTTTGGTTATTTCACGTTGCTGTATAGTTTTTCTTTTATCATCGGTATCATTTACTAGTTTTTTGTCTTTATTACTACTACTGGTATTGGTATAGACATGAGTTCCTCTTAAAATTTCATTAATTTCTCTTTCTACCAAGGACAACTGAAATGCAACTATAACAGCACACATACATAAGTAATCGCTGAATGCTCGCTAGATAATGAATTATTATTAAAATAGAAAGGCTATAGGTATTCATCCATTGTCAATAGTAGTATACGTAAGTAGTGAATGATTTGTAACTTACTAGGATTTTCTTTAGGAATACGAAATTTTCGTATCAGCAACCTGTGAATATATAAAGAATAAAACGCTTAAAAGAAGCTAAATACTCGACTTGTAAAACGTCTATACATGTAAGACATTGCTCATTGGATGTTACTATAATATGGTTTAAGCAGATCTATTTTGTTTATTATTAAACACAATATAGTGTATATAGGGAAAGGACATTAGCATCGCATAAGAAGTTATGATGCAATATCCTACTGGTTTGTGATCAATTCCGGACTGTAATATTATTTGTATATAAGTATACATCTGATTGAGGTAATGAAATAACTGAGTATTTCAAAATCGTAATATATTACACTGTACTTTCTGTATACGAATTTTACCTGACGCTTAACACTAACCAATGACTAATGTACTGTGTAATAATATTAATATAACTTTTCTTTTTATCTTGCAGTCTAATTTATATTAATATTCTATGGTATCAGTGCGTGAAATCTTCTTTCGTATAGATCACTGTGCTGCAAGAGTTTTTTTTCTATCCAAATGAAGTTGATGTAGACTAACAAGTTTATCTAATAAGCAATCTATCTGGAGGTATAAGTATATAATTTTTATGGGTATCATTTACAATGATCGATTAAGAAGAGGGAAAAATGCAGTCAGTAAGAACCATTATCATCAGTAGCACAAACCATAATATATGGATACAGAGTTCTTTCTCTTTTTCAAATGTCCTACAAGTGCATGAATGTTCTTCCCCTAGTGATACCTATAAGTAAGCGATCAATATCTCTCGTTATTAAACTATTCTTTGGTTGGTACTTCGTAATGATCATTGCTATTAATATACAATATTAACACTTATTACAAGTCGAGCCTATGCCAGTGATACTTTACACCCAGTACTTGTTTGGAAAGTAGATTATTTGAGTTCGCTGGCGTATTGTACTGTCATAATTTACTGTTGGGTAGTTCACAGTATATCATATTACCAACCTGCGTAGCCGTCAATTCTACTGTACTTTTACTGCTTCTATGAATAATTATTGATTATTGCACTTGTGATACTGTGTGTGTTTCTACTTTCTGGACTTGTAAATATACTATTAAAGTGTACAGTATACTATACGTTTACGTATACTTTAGTTTGGAGAAATTTTGTATTTGTATAAATAAGATATTGTTATTTAACAATTGTGCAATACTTGATCTTGAGTGAAATGAAGGGCAATTTATACCTTATATTTTCGATCACTTGCATCCTCTTTAATAACGAAACCTGTTGGTCCAGTTTGATGAACGATATAAATTGTAGCTTGCATCGCTTGATTGATTCGTTGATCGACTACATCGGGGCATAGACGTCGCCATGGTCGACGCCTGGACATGGCTGAGTTGAGTTAATTTCAAAATGGATTAAGGTAGCAAGTTAAAATATTTTGTTTTCAAGGCTAGTAATAACAGATCGATGTCTACGTAGTTTATGACATAAGAGCGAGACTAAAGGGTCGTCATAAGAGTAGCAATTCTATTGAATAGGCAATTGGGCATGGAATGAATTCATTCTCTCTTTCCATTTATTCCATGAATGCAGTCTCTATCAATACTCTAGTTGTCTATCGTGTGGTGAAGAAGAGCAACAGTAGGATATTGCTAGAAGGGATGAGAAATTGATCTCTTAAACCATCTTAGGCTCATGTTCGGCCAAGATGGCCGGTTGTCATGGTTTGTTAATATAGAATGGCTGAGTGTCAATCACTTCTTACTGACGTGCGCGTAGTAGTGTCGATCCAATGGGGTATCAACCAAAGTCGAGTGTGAGTTGAATGTTGGGCTGACCGTAACTTGGGCCGTCACTGCTACTAGCAGTGTCATTGGTACGGTTGTCATCATTTGCAAGTCACGTCATCGTTGGTGTTGTTAGTTCATACTGTGATATGCAATTGCTCCTGCAATATGCTGGAGTATACAGTATACTGCCATGGGGAATGCTGGAGAAAGGCGTGTAGGAGAGCCATTGATCAAATTTGTTTGGTTGCATTGGCAACCAGGGATACAACACAATCATCCTTCATCATCCTTAGCACAGTCAGCTGACTCTCCAATTACAGTACAGTACTCTAAAAGTCGCTGTTAACGTCTACAGTACTGTGTATAATACAGTATACAGTACAGTATAATATACAGTATACGGTTTCAAGGCTACTAACGCTTGGCTTACCATACAGTACTTGGACGGTATTTTTACAGTACAGTACAGCATGACTAATACTGGACTGGACTGTGCACTGATTGTACAGTACCTACCTACAGTATGAAGCACCACTGTGCACTGTACTGTACTGTACTGTACGGTACGATACTAGCACGGGTGATACCATTGTGGTACGTACGTTTATCACACTTGACACGTTTTACCAAATACCGTGTAGTATACAGTACAGTCAGAACGGATGCAGCGCGTGAAGCGAGTACCTCACACCCAATCGGGTGTGTAGCAAGCACTTCAAGTTCTACTGCACTTCATCTCCCCTTTGGACAGCAGTCAAAAGGACTTCGCTGAGTCAGTGAAGTATGACAAATTGACTGGAGTCCACATTGATAAGACGGAGTGAGAAAATTGCAGTCAAGAAATAGGTTAGCAAATCGATCCTAGCTTGGCCTGTTGGAAAGGAAAAGGAGATCTTTGACACGTTATTGCTAGCAGCAATTACAGGAAAAGGAATTGAAAATGTCTTCCAAGCCCGTGAATAAGAAGAAAAGTAAATCTGTCAAAAAAATTAAACCTGTCAAGCAAAAATTAAAATTGTTTCGCTCGGAGAACAAATTACTCTCAGTCTTTATGTGGGGATTAAATTATTCTGTAAGTCGATATTATCTTTGCTTATTGCTGTTTTTTGACATAATGCTATTTGCTCTACTTTCTAGTCCTAGTCTATCAAAGGAATGATACGATAAAAAGTTGAACCAGTAGCATGTTGTACAAGCCATTTAGTATAGTCTAGTAGGTCGTTCACTTTTTTCACCATCGACTGCACGAGCTGCTGGATACGCACTCTCAATCTAGTTAGTCACTTTTCAACAACGCGCAGTGGCCACGGGGCTGCGCCAATTACCATAGAATTACTCCATACAGGTATCGCAATGCCTCGTGCTGCCGTCGTTCGAAAACATTTCGATCTTCTCCTTTTGAGAAACTACTGGAAAATCACTTCTTTTTTCTCCCTCTGACGCTAGATTGAAAAGAACGATTGAACACTGAAACGGCAGAAAAATGTCAATAGAGTCACAAGTCTTTATACAGTCACCATTACTTTACTGTAGGGTTAATGATCCCATTGAATGCCCAACGTACTCTATCTAGACTTAGTACAGATACATATTAATTAATCAATTACCAACAAAGATGCCCATGGCAATGATTCGATATCATATCCTAGCCTTTTTCTCTCTTTCTTGATCCTGTACTTTTGGATCATGTGCTTATTACCGACGATAGCAGTACTGTAGTTGGCAGTGAATATAGTCAATGAAATTACATCCAACTCAATCCTATCCTCTCCTCTTCTTTACAAACATAACATTAAACCTGTTACCGTATAGTAGTCAGTATCTGTCTGTCGATCGATCGCCCCCCCCCCCCCTGATATCAACTACAGTCCAATACATAGAAGCATTATTTATTCCAATAGCTTGATTGCTAAGTTGACATTTTCTGATAGTTTTCTTTTTATCTTTCTCTCTCTTAATATCAACGTGGACACAACGATGTAACCACCTCTGAAAAATCGCCGAATTCTGTATCCCAACATTTAATTTCTAAATCGGTATCCATCAACGTGGTGATGTCATGAAAATCAAAATTAAAAAAAAAAATAAAAAATAACTGTTGACAAATGCCAGATTGAACAATTATCTCATGTTGAAATGCCGGTCATGTTACTACCTGGTGACTTCAAAGCCTATAGTAAAACCAAGGTGGAAAATTATTACTTTAACGAGTAAGTTAAAAAACATTACAAAAACAGACGAAACAAATTATTTTTTTCAAGTTGAAAAAAGATTTCAATTATGATTTCCAAGCACCATATAACAACTGCAATTTTATCTTATTTGTTATGTCAATCGATTTGTTTTGGTATTTGAAAGACCAACGAATGATAGCAATTCTGACTTTCTATAAAATCAATTACGGTATTTGTTTTTCTTAAATATTCTTTATAATGTGTACAGTACGTTTTCTTCCATCCGTGAAAAAATAAAATGATTAGTGATGTAAGTAGTTAGGCTTGGCAATCTAGTGATTACCTACAATTGTTGATCAAAATGTTACAGGACATCTAGCACTGTATTTTGTATCGATCCAATTTCTCCATGCAAATCAACCATAGGTACTCGCGTGATGCTGTTTTGTTCAGTCGGATACGTGCCTATCTTGTCCTATATTCATAGATGCGTAGATATCGAAATTAATATACTGTACACTGTACATTTGTATGAGTATATATGTACAGTACGTTGTCATCAATTCATGATATTACAATAGCTAAATCATGATTATTTTGGATAGACAAACTCACCGACAGGTACTTTATAACAGTATGAGCTCTAATTAAATACTTTTCGACATTGACTATCATCATATCATGTACCTAAACTATTCATATTTGATTTCTTTACGGTTCATCAGGACTAGATTTAGTCCTTGCTCACATTATCAAATCACTACTGTATTTTACGTACACCTGGCGATGGTTATACTGGGATTACAGTACTGTATAGGGTAATAAAATTGATTGAATAGCACGTAAAAACAATCATACTTATTGTGTGCTCTAGTTGCAGACTTCCACACCAAATGTGATACGTTCTGTAGTCTGTAGCTACATTACGTGACAACTTCTTACCATTGGCTACTAAGTCAATCAGTTTGTTACTATCTTAAATTTTATAAATATACGATATTTTTATCTTAAAAAGTCCATATCACTGCTGACAATCTTACTTAATTGGAGGCATTGGGTCTTGTCTCACAACTGCTAAACTAGCAATTTTACTGTCACTAAGAATCAAAAAGCTGAAAAGAAACTGCCGTTCTTAAAAACATGAACTTATGGGTAAATAACGTATTAACTCGATAATGATGTAGTCAGTGTATAATTTTTTTTTGATACCCTGAACATCAAACTGAAATTGCTGTATAGTAAATTACTACAATGCAAATTTACTATAGCGTTAAAAGTAGCACATATGCAGTACTGTACAGTAAAAAAGTACTCGCAATTTCGTTTTGACACAGTATTTGACTATCTACTCGAATACATCGTTTATAAACGGTTTTACAGGAATGATTTTCAAACAAAGAATTGCGGAGGACATCAACAGATTCATAATACAACTCAAACACAGCCGATATTTTGAAATTTTTACGTTTTTATTGAATTTAATAGGTACGCTAATATTACTACAGTATTATTATTATCAGGGTTAGCAATATTGTAAAATATTATATCTACCGTACTGTACGTATGCAAGAATACGGGCAGTATTATTGTATACGTACAGCATATTTATTATTTTTTATTATTAATATATATTTTTTCAACGGTGAATTCATCTACTTTACAGTCCCATGCTGGGCGAAATAACATTGCGCTAATTTTCCTCTGTATCCCAACTCTGGTGTAGACCGCAGTGATTTACTGTATTAGTTGACAAGTCAATTAAAATCAAAAGATTGTCGCTGTTGTCACCAAGTAAATCCTACAGGATCATGCATCTATTTAACTAACAGTAAACTGATATCATCGTATGCAAGTTTATACGTATAAAGTTGAAAAATGTTACAAAGATACTCTGCAAGTTATACAGTATTTAATAACCTTTTAATGATGCATAAACACGGGTAATAGGCTGTTCACTGTACAGTGTACCCTGCTGCACCTGCTATGTTACAATATTGCTTCAACGGCAAATGATGATTCTCTCATATTCACTGATGTTACAAAGTAGAAGAATGGTATTGTTAAAATGTTTTTACAGTTGTACATAATTATCTATATAATTAAAAATATATAGTCGATAGAAACGATACTGGTAATTTTACTGGATCAGTCGAAGCTGTTGATTTACTACGATATATTTTCACTATTGTATTTATAATGTTGTTGATCAATGTAACGGTGAAATGTATTGCAGTATTGCAAAAATAACTTCTAAAACAACAATAGTATGTACTGTACAATACTGTACGGTGTGTCGTCAATGATGCTCAACTATTGCGATATTTTAAGTGAACAATTTATGACTAAAAAATTTGTATTCTGCAATACGTTTAGGCATACGTAACACTTGATGAATTTTAAATATCCTTTATTGATTTTAACGACGGATTTCGTAATAGTAGAACCATATTACGATTGTGAGCAAGATGCTAATAGTATCTTAATAAATATAATATAATGCTGTAGTACGATACACCGCAGCCTTGCTGCACAATGGTATACTGTACTCAGTACATTAGAACTCCTAGCAGCTGATCTACAGTGTATACGCAACCTTTATTTACGTATAAATGACCAAATTCTCCGTAGAAAATAAATTGCTAAGCAGTCGTAATTAATTATAATTAATAATGATTCATATTCAGTTATTAATTAATATTTGCAACAAAAAAATACGGGTGATAGTTTTCTAGATGACTTACTGTAATGTAAGAATATGTTAACATAACCAAGAGATAAACTTCTCTTTTGGTATTTTTTATAAGTATAAATGAGGAATGATCGATCCCAACTGATAATATATAATTAATGAGCTAATTCTGTGCGTAATATTAGCACGTAAATTTCCGAAATGCAAACAGCATCAACCCGGTATACGGTAACATTAATTTTTATGATTACATTTTGGATTAGTTTTATAATTAAAATAATAGGAAATTATTGCTTGCAATGTAGCAATAAAATTAGTTTTTTAATGATATATATTTTAGATATTAGAGTAACATAAATATCCCAGAAGTTCTTGTACATATATATGTTCGTATCTTTAGAATTAGGAAAAATGATTGTATTTTCATATTGCTTTCTCCAGTATAGCATTAATCTTATAAGCTAATTAATAGATATAGACAATTTTAGTAGTAATTTATTATTTACCGTTTTGAATAGGGAATAGAAAATACAGTTTAACTTGCTTTCACCTGCTCTTGAAATAACAATTAAGCTTCTGCTAGTGAAAATGTAAAAAATGAAATATTCGACTCTCCTCTATGAGATATATTATACAGTAATTTATGCGACATAAAATGATATCTTGTACCTTAAGACGTAAAGTCTGACATACAAATAATTTTAAACACATACTACCTTATGTCTATTAGTGTATAGTAGACTACTTTTTTTTTTTATATCTTGTATATGTACGTGTACCTGTGTTAGTCTGTCTTTTGAACATACTGTACTATACAGTTGTTCTCACTGCAGAATTTAGGAAACTGTTACTACTATTCTCACATACGAGTATACAAAATAACACTTATTTCTGTTACATCAGTTCAATTTTGTGATAGCTTGTAAGCGTTATGATCAACTTAGCGTTGTTCATACTGTGACCAAAGTAATTATTTTATAACTTTATTGCAGGGAAACTCTTCCAGGTCATTTTAAATATAAAGAGTATTGTCCTAAAGTATTTAAGAAGTTACGGGAATGCTTCGATATTGACGATGAACAATTTAAAGTAAGTCAAGGCAATTGTAGCTATTTTTTATTCTATTGATTGATTGATTGTGAAGTATTGCTAAAGTGTACTCAATGCTGTACGAGCTAATTAGTATAATTTACAGGTATTACTTCTTATTAAACTGTGACAAAAACTTCTATTTAATAATTTTATTTCTTTTTTTATATTATACAATTATTAGCAATCTATAGCTTTTTCGCCTCTCATGCAATATGGTGACAGTGGAAAATTCTTTGTATCACGCGATAAGCAGTATGTGGTTAAAACTATTGATTCTTATGATGTTGAAACTATGCACCTCATCCTACAAGGTTATCACCAGGTATTTATTTCTCAATAAATTAAATGGAGAATCTATGATTTTACAGTTTAAATGCTAAGCAAGGTATACCATAGTTTCTCAACTCTCTCTAGTAGACATTGTTAATTTGATATATTAGAGATAATATTTTAAATCATTTTTTGTTCTCTTATAGCTCATAGTTATACGACAATAGAAATGATAACGATGTTTTTTGTAATGATTAATAAAAACATACTATATAATTATTTACAAAGGCTATCATTCTTAGTCTGCAAAGAAATGAAAGCGTTTCCATATTTTTTTATAGTATATTATCGAAAATAAAGGTGTTACGCTTCTACCCCAATATCTTGGTATGTATCGGATCACAATCAATCATAAGGAAAATTACTTAATCGTTATGAGAAGCGTTTTTAGCGCAATGTATCCTCCCCACAAGAAATACGACTTGAAAGGTTCCAGTGTAGGAAGAGTAGCTCGAAACGAAGAAAAGGTCTGTAAAAGATGTGTAGTTTACAACATTTGAAGTGTGCCTGTCACAATCTTAGGTCAAAGGCAGTTGCTAAATTTATTGCGCCTATAATAAGTCTAGTTTTGTGTATTTTGTGAGAGTGATATTCGTATTATTGCCCGATGATTAAAATTTGATGCCTTATGGTGAGAACTGTTCAGCCTGTCGGATAATCTCGTGTCGTGGTCTGATTTTATAGTGTTTGACTTATTTTACGGTTTGAAAGATTAACGTTGAAAAGTGGATGCGAGGTTGGATGGCGGGTACTGAGTGTAGATCAATGATCATTTAGATTATGAGATATGAGGGCTATAGTAAAGCATTATTTAAAATCATCCTGAGAAAGTAAATATTTTACAGAATTATAGAATAGGCTAAGACCAGTTAGATATCACTATATTTATGTGCATATATACACACATGTAGGCGAAGGAATTACCGACTTTTAAAGATAACGACTTTACCAAAGATCAAAGTAAATTGTACATTGGCGACGATAGAAATGCTAAGATCATGGAAATACTAACAAGAGACACAGAAGTATGATTCTTGCATTATCTTACACTCGTATAAAAGTTACCATTTTTAAGATAGATATATATGCGTATTTGAGATCAACTATTGGATAAATTCTAACTGCAGTTTTTTTGTAGTTTTTAGTAAAATTTAGAATTATGGATTATAGCTTATTACTTGGTATACACGATATTGAACGTGGCCTCAAGGAAAGAAATCATGAAGATGAGGAAGACTGCTTAGATGAAGCTGATGGTTCTTCCGACGAAAACACGAATGGTGATGATGTAGATGATTCTCCAGCTGCAAGTCCGTCACCTGCGGAAGTGTGCGATAATAACGTTTACGCTATAAGTTGTTCAACAACTTGTAAGTTGGTATTTCATGATATAATTGATTTTTTTTTGCTATGATAGAAATTAACTTGATGGTATTAGCAATCATTTCATTTTATATGGAATGAAACTTATAGCAAACTTGTCTAAAATTTCTGATTAGGTACAAATCAAGAGATTTACTATCTAGCTATTGTGGACGTTTTAACCCAGTACGGAGCTCGTAAAAAGGCAGCTCATATGGCAAAAACTGCAAAGCATGGAGTAAGTTATAGTAGTACTCTTTCGATCCTGTAGTTGATATATCACCTAATTTGCTTATTATAGAGTATGACATGTAGTTAACTTAACTGATAAAATTTGATCATCATTGTTTCTTCTAATTCAAGGCTGGTGCTGAAATTACAACTGTTAACCATAAGCAATACGCCGAAAGATTTATGGCTTTCATCGGTCGAATTCTAGAATAGTAATTCTACAACCTGAGAGATTATTAATAAATAGCTGGACGTAAAAATTGCAGCTTAAAATTAACCATTCTAATTGGTATCTTTCATAGCAGTCATACGGTAACTGTGCATTAATTATTAAATAATTATCTATCTTATTATGAAATTTAGTTCACAACCGTAACATGACTACTCTATTAATAATTGGCTTACTTTAGTTGCAATTCTTAATTGAGGAAAGAAAAATTTAAGATAGCATTTTATGTCTGCGTTTGTAAAATTTAAATGACTCATATATTGTCAACTTAATAATTCCGGCTTGAAAAATGTACCTGCTACGAATGATCAATGATTTCTTGCCGAGTACGTATTACAGTTAAATACGTGCGCGTTTCTGTAGTGTCTGACTGGGTGATTCAGATAATATTATTGATTATATCAGTGATAAATTACTTCTTCTGGTTGTCAAGCTTACTGTACTGAATTATGATTATACTCTAATGAATTGCTTATTCAGGTATCTGCATATTTTATATGTTAATACACAGCGTAAAAACTCTCACCACGAATATATACAATAGTACGCCTAATATAGTCTATGGTGAATGATAAAAATGAAGGTAGTTCAGATTGGACATTATCACAAATTAAGTTAAATATGTTTATTATTTCCAAAACTATTACCCAGAAATGAAAGTTGATTTTGATGATATTACTTATACCTATTATACAGATATATAATTCATTATGTTACGATGCAGTCGATTAACACGGAATTTGATGCTAAATTACAGTAGTATATGGTTTTTACACATTGCGATATGTTTTATATTAATGTATTTGAATATCACAGTGATGACGATAACTTCGTCATTGATCTATTACTATTTCACTTATTATATTAATTTTTGACTGATACCTATTATCCAAATTTATTTCATGCCTTAGTAGTTATTAATTTCACTAATTCATTCGATCCCTAGGCATACTGGGATAACATACCTGTATATTTTTTAAAAATAAACTATCCTAAAAATTCTTTTCACAGAGGTTGACTTTATGTAAAGCATAACATTAAATACGCTAATTGCGATTGCATTTATAGCACACTGTGAAGTATGGTAGGAGAATATATTAAACTGATAGAAGATGTGTTCAGAGCACTGGCATCGATTCTGCTGCATGACCATCATTTCAAATTTAAATGATTAGGATGAGGTAAAATTTCATAAGATCTCTTCAGAATCGCCGGTAAAATAACACAATACATAAAATGATTTTCGATATAACTGTTCATACAGTATGTTCACTATCATTATACAGTTCTTCAATGTCAGAGCAGGCAGGAATCAAACAGGTTTCGTTCGTATACGACACCCAGTCATTTTATTATATAAGGTTATCAAATGATTGTAAAGTAAAAGGAACCGCCATCCTTTTCCTTTCATCATTTAATAGTGTAAATACAGTACAATACTTTCATTAAGTACAGAAAAATTCACTTCGTCAATATTATATATTCAACCAAACAAATAAAAAACGTATAGATCATTTTTTACAACATGATTATCATATAAACGGTTGCTATTACAAATACGGATAGGCTATAAATGATCACCGTACAAAGATATCTACTGTAATGCTCATCGACAAATTTTTATCTAACAGAATGGTAAAAATTTTTGATTGCCGATTAGGATAGGCCAGATTTTAAGCCTTAAATGTCAATTTTATAAATGTCTTCCAGTGATTTGAACCATACACATCAGAAGAATACGTATAGGCTGTACATAAAGAGCTCAACGGTTATCGCTAATTTAATAACTATTCATCATTTTCTTAATTTAGAAATGTACACCAACAATTGTTTTAAAAATTTCCATTGTAGCTCAACGAAAGATATCCATTATTGTAGTGTAATATTCTCTGTCATACTGCTTATGTCTTATAATTAACACAGTTCAAAACCAACAAAAAATCCTTCTCGAAATTTAAAACTACACGATAGATGCATAATAAAAGGTAATAAATTCGTTTGTCAGCTAAAATATCTGTAATATATGATACACAAATACAAGGATGCTAAATAAATATGACAATGCCCTGTGGACACAGTGATAAAACCATCTGCAAATTATAACTGCCTTCCGTGCAATTGAAATTGCCGTAAAAACTTATTTGGTAATGAAATCATGAATGCTACTATATATCATTCGGCAGAATGTCATTGGAATAGTTGCCAGTAAAATATAAACATAAGTACTAATATATTAAAAATTAAAATGATTTTTTCAATTTTCATATTTGATTTAAAACGAACAAGAATCTTGCAAACTTTAATATTATTCGATACCAAAATTATCCGTTTCTTCAATTGCAAGAACTAACTTTTTGTACAATACTTTGTAAGACGGGTAAGCAGGCAAATCGAGTCGATTAAAACAGGTATGCGCTCTGTATAATAATCAAATGAATTAAAATACTAACAATGAGTATTCAAATTCCAAAAGTAGTAATTTTTTCATGTGCTTCTAATCAAATACGTTAAACCGTAATTCTTACAAGGTAGATGGTTTTACTTACCGAGGTAGCTTGTCAGTAGAACTAAGTTTATCAATACAAAACTTTCGCAGACCACTACTACCACGAAGAGCAGCAAAACCTTCTACAGGCAAGCTTGAGGTTCCAGTGATAAACTATTTCGCAAAAGAGGTTTTGAATAGACCTTACACTATGATACTTGAGAGTAAGGGCTATTGAAAGGACTAGTACTTACCTGAAGTAAGCGCAGTCTTTTTTCATTACTCATAATTCTAACAGCTTCCCAAAACCAAACAATTACTTGGTGATCTTCTGAATAGCCTATAGCATAAGAATGCGTTAGAAAAATAATAAAGCCGATATCAACAAGGCCTGCAATGAACCGTACCTGAACGATACTCAGTGTTTTTTATCCAGTCGTCTACATCAATGTCATGGGTACCACATATTAACAATTCCAATTCGTTCGCATCAAAAGTAGATAACATTTCCGGACCAATAATCTATATTTTAGATTTAAATTATCGCGCAAGGATTAGCAGGTGAAGACAAATATTTCGACAACAGTTGAATGTACTATTCATTTTTGAATGTTTGCTGTATCGTAAACGGGGGCTACATACATCACGAAATCCTTTAAGGATTGGTTTAATTTGTTCAGAGATACTTTGTTCAAGTCTCCACTTCAAGAATAGCTCTACATATTCCTTTTTGTCACTCTCGGTTACATAAATATTTCTTCCATTGGGTTTCAGTTCATATTCTCTTTTCTGTGTTAAAAAGTTATTCAAAGGCGGTTTAGATGATCAATTATTTGATGTACATAATTTATATGTTTCACTTGTACAAGAATGTTGCTTACTTCTCCAAAAACATCATACGATATACAAAATGGTACGGCAAGATCGTCCGTAATTTCATTATCCATAATCCAAGTTATGCTGCGGTGATATTGTTCATCCACAAATTCCAAATCACCAATATTACAAGGTCTGATAGTGGCAAACATACCAAATTTTAATTTTAGCTTTAAGCAAAGTTAGCCGAATTATAAGGAATGAAGCATGCGAACTAATATTCCACGATCAACGCGTCGGACAGCATAAACTTTAATAGTATTAACTGTAGCTATCTGTTAGAAAGCTATTCGCAATTATTATGTCTTACACTATTATAAATAATGTACGCGTTTAGATATTTCACAATTAACATCTTCAGTTCTTAGATTACTTTAATGAGCATTAAAAATACTAATAATAGCTGATTCTCTTGGTTAGCACTGTCCATAAGATCACCTTTCAAGCAAGGCTTTGTAAAATGGTCTGGCGAAAAAAACATCGAGTAGGTATCGATGGACAATTGCCATACCAATAACACGACCACAAAATCTAAACCTGAGCGTTAGCATATAGTAAAATTTGATCAAAGAAATTAAAAGATGGTCCGGTTACCTATCTATGATATGATCAACTTAGGTTAAATTATTATTGTTAATATCACGAACCAGTCTTGCCAATGATCAACGTATGTTGATTTGGGACTAACTTGAATAGTGTAAGTATCATTTGCGGAGTACTCGAATAAGCCACAGACCGGATTAAACAATTCCCGAGAAAGAAGAAAGAAGAATTCGCGTGTTAACCCACCATAGTCAAGTCTATCAAAGAATTATCAAAAGAATAAATAGGAGTTTTACATATTTCGACAATTATCATCTCTATGTATCACAAGAGTATATTAGCGCAATTACCCATCTTCACCAACAAACTGTATTTCCAATTTATTCTTTTGTAAACATTTTGTGCTCTCGAACATAATTTGATTAAAAGCATCCTCAAGCAGTCGATTTCGTCGAATTTTTAGTCTAGTGGAGTTTAAACATTTTATATTACAAATTATCCACAACAAAATAAACAATGTCAGGATAAGAAAATTAACATAAAGTTAGTGTGAACTTACCTTAAACGTTCGGGACCTTTACCGTAAGCTTGACTTCCAAGTCTACGATAAAGCGCCAACATCTTCTCTCGGTAAGATTTTACCTCATCGGCCGCTAAGATGAATGAGTCAAAAATTTAATATGTTAGATAGCATCACCGTCCGTGCGATAATATCCTTTAAAGCTGGTAGTAATAGAATAAGCACTATTACTATTAATAAATTCTACTTCCTCAATTCACTTGCTACCTGTTTCTTTCTTCACTTTACGCCGTTGCACAGTCGGCGATCGGTTATTTGCTAACCAAACGGACGTTATTTCTGATTCAAATAAGCTAGGGGTATACAAAGTAAATAAGATTAACTTGACTAGAGAAATAAAAAGTGCATAAATAACGGTAATTTGCCGTCGTATTTTATACGTAGAGTAAATCAAGAAATAAAAAAATGCTATCTCTGAGTTTGTAACACTTTACCACGAAATTAATCATACTATGTAATGTATATGAAACTAATTGTGACATATTATATTATATAAAAAGATTTACAATACCTCAACATAACCACTAAATCGCTATTGTTAGTAAACTTTTCTACAGCACTTTTTCCTTCTCTCCTTATAGTTTCGACTGCGGTTCTAAATATCGATAAATATCAATCGCAACTTAAAAAGTAATCAATTATAGCGTATAAATTTTTGAATTTAATAATCCTCATCAATTTAACATATAGCTAAATATAACTACACTATAAGAACAATTGGATTTAAGATGTTAAACAAGAATCTGCTGCAAGCGAAAGCACAAATTTATCGTTCATGAAACTAATTAAAGATGCATAATCGTTTACCTTAGACGTTGTTTATAGCTAATGTCAGGATATTTGCTTTTCAATATATCAAAAATACCCGGACGTGATAGGAAAGCGGCTACCTGAGCACCATAGCCTTGATATGACAACATTATTAGCAATAATTTATATGCAGCAAATACACAAATACTAACGTACTGGTATCGCGGTCATGCTGATGGTGACGGTCATGGTCATCTTCTCCATCGATATCTTCTACAGCTATAGGAGCCATAGCTAATTCCCTAACTCTGGAAGAATTTTGGTTACCACTTCGTAGGCGTGAAGCTTCAGAGATTCTTCTTATAGGTCTTGTATTTCTATTTGGTCTACGCTGCCCGGATTCAGTATTACTATCTCCAGGCGAAGGGGGATACTGAATTCCCAGACGAGGATCAATGATACTAACCGAATTTGCCCTAGTGTTATAGAATAAAGCCTAAAACGAATACGAAAAAGCGAGTATTACTGGGTGCCAATATTATAAATATCTATTCAATATTACAATTAAAAATATCCTATAACTTACATTTCCATTTTCTTGCTGGGTCACGATCATATGTTCTGGAAGTGGTTCACTAGTATCAACAAAGCAGTTTAAGAATGTAACCATTCTTCGACTTTTCTTGTATCTAGAAAAATATAAGAAATTGATATTTTATCAGATTCTTAGTGAAAGATAGATAGTTTACAGCTACAACAACTTGAGTTTACTTGTCAAATTGTGTTGCGCCTCTTCGTATCTTCTGAATTGCTTGTCGCAAAGGTTTTTCTCGACTGTACAACGTATTAGCTTCCTAAATACGCGCGTTTGATATAGTAAAATTTCAAAAGCATAGAGAACAACTGATGGCAACGTTTGATGATTTAATCATAACACAATTTCATGAGTATACTTACAGCATGGTCTTCGATTAATTCAATCAAATCATGACGTGTAAGGAAAGCTTGAGCATGGGAGTCGTCGCGTTTAGGTTCAATACCATCTGTTGAAGAATTTGTTGCTAAGCTATTAAAGGCGCTGTGTCGGCGTACAGTAGTTGATTCAGTATTCTGGGGCAAGGTCTCCGTCGAATTACTTTCTACAGTAGATGAGCCTTCTTGGTTTTGTGCTAAGCTACTATTTTGCTGTGGTTCAGTAGCTAACGAAGCTACAGCAGCATCTTCAACTTGAGGGATATTCTTATCGTTACTGCTGTTATCACTCACTTGGTTATGCACAGGATTAACTCGTGAAAATTTAATGGCACGGCGTAAGCTAACATATCTATAATATAAAAAAACGATACATCAAGGATTAATTAAACAATACAATAATTGCAATACTTGAATAGTTATCATAGCAATACCGTTCGTCTAATCGACGCCGTCTCTGAATTAAAGTTTGTTCAGACGATGATTCTATATCGAAAACACGTTATTAGCTTTTGAATTTCACAATTGAATTAATTTGATTTACTAACAAGAAGAAATTAATAATAAGAAGAAATACCTGGCAACGGTGCTGCCCATTCTGTCGTATGTGTCTCACGATTGTAGTAGAATTCTCGTCCGTACATATCAGTTCGCTTTTCCCACCCTTACCAATTCCAAGGTCAGCAAGTTAGACTTTGCAGAGATAATTTAAAAAAATTAATTATATAAACTTACTGGAGTTTGACGTATCTACACTGGCTGCACTATTAGAATCAACGAGGTTACTTTGATCTTGCCAATCGTTCGTCACTGGCACAGAGTTTTGGTACAACATGGATGATGCCGCTCGTAACGCGCTAGCATAAGACCCATTTCCCATATCGGTATCATTACTATTTTCAACCTCTCCGTTATTGTACCTATCCGTGAGCGTAGCTGTAGCTTGTGTATCACTACTAGCTTCATACCAGTTGTTTCCTGAAGCTGACGCTGTGACATAAGGAATTGATTGTAAAAGATTAGCAGAAGATACTTCGGTAGCTCGTTCCGCACTTTCAACGTAAGGTCGATATAGATAAGCCATACTAGATTCACTATAATCTGCGCTTGATTCAGGTATAATTTCTCTGCTAGTTGTGTCTGCTAAGTCGAAATTGTTAACTCCAATTGGTTCGCTTCTATTAGTAGTAGTACTTTCATCGAGAACGATGAGAGAATTTGATGGTTCAAGAATAAAATGATTTTGTTCCACTACTAAATTAGTCGGAGATTCATTAACGAAAAGATGATTATCAACTTCTATTTCATCACTATTACCATGTAATACCGATACATTGGCCATCAGATTACCTTCACTGCTGTTACAAACTTCATCAGCAGTTATAGGTAAGATTTCGTTGTTATTGAAGTTGAGTTCAGGAGTAATATCTTCATTATACTGCTGCAACTCAGAGTTAGGATTAACAATTACAGTATTTTCAGTTCTTAAAGGTTGATCATCGTGATAATCATTCGATAGATGCTGCGTCTCACTAATTTGTTGACTTGAGATAGGAATCATGACAGATTCTAAACCGAAAAGAAAAAATTAAATATATTATTTAGACTGTGTACCTGTAATCGTCTTTATAGAGCGAAGTTAATTACAGTAGATTAAAAATTACGAAATAAATAATTTCCCTATCATTTACCAAGTTGACGGCTATGTTCATCATCTTGAGTATTATTATCGTTGGTTACTGTAAGTTGAGAGTTCAATAAAGACTGGTCCACAACGCTAAAATTTTGATTTTCAGAAGGAATTATTTCACTATTATATAGCATATTACCCTCCATTAATTGCGAGTTGTCGATTGGATGCGACGATATCGCTACGGTATCAGGATTTGTCGCAGTAACTCCATAATTGCTTCTGAGGTCAGCTTTACCCAATTCTTGACTACAGTCTGATGTTGGTATAATATTCTGTGCGTCAATATTTTCGTTACTTATTTGGTGATTGTGATATTCGCATTGTATCACGTGGCTGTGATTGCTATTTTCATCATGAACCATAGCTGTTACTTCATTATTAATGGCATTAGATATGAAAGGTTCACCTCTACGTTGACAATCTTGCAATGAAGACGAGTGACTATCCATTCTCGCAATAGTAGACTCAAAAGTTAAACCAGGCTCATTGGAATTATCCTGTGATAATAATTGTGTTGAATCGCATACATTGTTTGCTTCAATATCTATATCTATCCATTGACGATTGCTATTTGTAGAAGGTGGTGTATTATTTACATCATTATGATCAGTATTTACTCGAAATTCATGTTCAGTAGAATTTATGGATGTTCCAACCTTATCGTGACGATTTCTATTTATCTCGTCGGTCGATGTAATTTTATTATCATTTAACGGTTCTAATAGATCTGATTGATGACAAGTTTCAGACGTATTAGTACTACTGGCGCTGGTCGATTCATACGATGAGTGAGTTTGATTAGATGTGTTAATGACAGTATCAGGATTCACATTCATAGTTGGTAGGTCGATATGATTTTGATTATGTTCATTAATTGAATTAACTTGTGATCTTTCAATAGGATAATGGTTATCATAATTACTATCAATTACATCATTATTAGGACTATGTACATGATTAGCATCATCTAATGTCACGTTAGCAGCAGGCGTATAGCACGCTCCAGTGGTAGTCAGATCTTGATGGACTTTCGCAGTTTGTACTTCTGCAGAAGCTTCTAAATCGGTTTCAGTTAACTAACGTAATTTAAACAACTCCAATTAGTATCATAATATTGAAATTTTAATTTACATCAACTACGACTATAATACAATTAAGTAGCTTACATCGGAATTACTGGCTTGACCGTTAATTTCAACACTAGCACGATATATATTAATTATGCCTTCTGTGCGCTCTATGCATGTTAGATTATAACTATCATGCGATAACCCATTCGATTCATGGGTTAAGTTAGATGTTTGTGCTAATTCAATTTCAAAGTTTTCACGTGTGTCATTGATGATAACACTGCTTGATTCATCTTCACCAGAAGAGTTAATAATATGTCCTGCCGCGAGTGAGTCTTCGACGGCCAACTCAGGTTCGCAATCATTGTGCCCATGTCGAGAAGAATGACCATTTTCATTATGTGTGTGATTGCCTAAAATAGCTGCATTATCGTGTTGTCGTATTGATTGAGGAAACCTAGTATCATCTTCCATTTCATCTAAATTATGAATTACTTCCACCTCTGTACCATTCTGAGATTGGATATCGTCTTCGACATTATCACTCAGCCGATGAAACCAATCTTCATTGAGTAATATCTTCTGAAATGACCTACCCTCTCTATTACGAGATATGTTAATTTGACCATTGGTTTCTGCTATGATAATTATAAAGATCGAAGTAATTAGTTTCGCCACGATAAATTACAATAGATACAAAAGTAACTTACCAGATACATTACTTAATCCGGACATGGATAAAGAGATTGTCAATCCTATTCAATAAGATGTACATTAGAAGAATGAATACTGTTAAGAATTCACTCGATAAAACATCCCTATGAAGATATTAACGAACCTGAGCCATCTACTGGAATTTGAGTTAAAACGAAAGATATCCAACCATTGACGTACTTTGAACCACTTTTGTCACATAATCGACAGGTATAGTTCGACATCTCACTGAAAAATAGATAGGAATATTTCAATATTGTAAAAAATACTATAGAAAAAAAGTTTTGGATCAAATGCGGTACGGTATGGCTTACCTCTTGGTTAAATTGGCTTTGAATATTTCGATAAAGGGAATGCCTATCTTTCCAACAAATTTACTCCTATAAAGATTTTCGCTGTCACGAACCTCCAATTGTAGAACATCAAAAACTCGCGCTTGAAATCTAAAAATCTATATAATTATAATAGGTAGTATTACCAAATAAACACATAAGGTAATGCTATATAGAAAGACTTGTTCTAGTACTATAAAGAATGAGATCCTATAGATGAGGTGCAGGTTAATATCATTCAATGTGTATATTCAAGAAATGATATTAAAATCCTATTGCTTTCATGGGCGAAATTATAATAATTTTAAAAGATAGTATAATACATATCATTGTGAATGTCAGTCCACATGCACCGGTGCTTGCCGCGTATATAGATTCATAAGTAACATTTAAGGTACTTTAATCTTTATATATGTAATGATTGTTAATATCCTTACTTCGCCATTCCAGCACGGTTCGGTTGTTTTCGATTGCACAGAAGTAGATCGTTTGAAACTAGAATTGGACTTATGATGCAAGAGACATCGAGGCATTACTGCTACAACGACATTAGTTGAAGGTTTGCTAAATAGTCGTCTTTTTAAGCCATTGACGCAGATATCTAGAAGCATAAACAACGTAAAATATACAGTACTTTAATAAAGTCAACTATTATGTTACTGTTGCTAAAAGCGATATATTAATCTAAGCCTATTTCACTACAGTCTCAAATATACGTATAAATTCGGTAAAATTAATTAGCGATGCTACGACTAGATACATCTATAAGTATTCTATACCTATTTATAAGTGTCTCTGTACAAAGCAATTATAGAATTAAAGATATATAATACTGCATACCAGACAATGCAAAAACAAATTTACGATTTCGATAACAGGGAAGTATTTCTTCTTGTAGGTTAAAAGGTATCTAAAGCCAAAAAATTAGGAACTAGATCAGCTATTGACAAATTTTCTTAAATGCAAAATTTTAATTAAATTGCAAAAACTATCAATAATGTACAATTATTTCTGATGGATAATCAATTTTAGAAATTGTTTAAAAAAGCAGTAAATTTGGCTGATTACATCATATTTTTTAGCAGTACTGTATTCCGTAATGGATTATAAATAAATATAAGCCATAACTAGTTATATTTGTTTACCGATATTCCTAGCAGAGAACATTTAGCAACGAAATATACAAGTCGAGATCAACTACAGTAAATTTTTTACAAACAGATAAAGACTATAATAAGTGCATGATTATTGCATACCGGAAAGATTGATATCAATAACGACGTTATCAATGTTTCCGTTTATTTTTCAGCAAGCGTTAAGAGAAATGATGCGATATCTTTACGCAATTCAATATTTTATATAATTTACGTCCATTTTAAAAATCACATACAATAAAGTTATCATTTAGCTATTAGTATAGTCTTTGTATGTGATACGAATTTAAATCAAGCGTAACTAATCGACTTGACATACAGGGCAAGAAAGTCAGCCTTTCAATTGAGGGTTAGTCTTTCAATTAAGGGTTAAGGTTGTTAGCCTTACCTCAACATTTGGATTATAAACTGTAAATACAGGACTAACAGCTCGTAGGATCTGCGATGTACTATTATAGTACCTAAAACAACATTGTGATGTAGCTAAAAAAGTAGAAAAGAATAAACATAGTTAGAAGAAAAAGAGATAGAAAAAGAGATAGAATTGTTTGTTGTGAACCATTCAGGCAAACTATCGAAAGTGTTGTTATAAAATCGAAGGATCACCAATAGTGGGAGTTACATACTATACAAACGGACAGTATAACTTACTATAAATATTTTATGGAAAGGTTGTTATAAAATTCCTGGATCACCAATAGTTGGAAGTTAAATTCTATACAAATTGACTGTATAATTTACTATAAATACTTTAATGAAAGGCCGTTATAAAATCGAAGGATCACAAGTGATGGAATTTAGACTACTATACAAATTGATTGTATAATTTACTATAAATACTTTATATTCCTCAGTTCTAAGGAATTATTGCAGCTATCAAGGCTTAAAGTTTATTATTTACGTCACAACACTATAAAGTTATGAAGGCATGAGACACTTTGAATTTCTCTAGGTCTCTAGTCCAAGCCATATCATGATTTTCTATCATTAATAGCAACATCAAGCTTTAAGATTTAAGAATGAAGTGTCTACAGATGAAGAGCTGCAGTTTCTGTAGAAAAGCAAGCTATCGATCATTATCGTTACTTATCATCATTATCAGATGGAAATAATTAATACAAGGGTGCATATCTACTCACATACAACTAGAAATTATCAACGATAGCAGAGTTACGTACCTTTACCAAACTCGTTGTCGAATTCACGAACTAACCAACTGTATTTTCCTTTTCTATAGACGTCTTTGTATCGATGGAAGCAGGCGATAGAATTATCTGTGTTGTCATCATCTATATGTGAATAAAGATACAGTATATGTTACATGGGATCGATTGAATTTGTCAGCTTTAATTCACTGTCAACCACATATTGAAAGTCATTATTAATATGATTGTTATTATTGTTATAGCAATGTTGTGTTATATATATATATATATATATGTAGATTCAATAATCATTGGCGTAACAATATTGAAAAGCCAAAAAAACGATCAAAACTCTATCAAGTTCTCATGCCATAGAAGAATTGATATTTTAAAGTTTACTTTTACTTTAAAGGATAGCTTTTTAGGATAAATTCTACCATACATGTCGTGCATATACATGCTACCGTAGGTAGTGTGCCAACTACGGTAATAATTAATCGTATATCTGACTCATCATGGTGCAAAACAAAACTACTTGTATCAAGTTTACGATCCCATCTAATAAAAGTACATAAGTATTTGTAGGATAAAATAGTCCCTCAAATGATGCATTCGAACTTTCCAAGCATAACAAGGATGTTGAACTAGACATGAAGTTATTTCTAAATCACCAATGTTCTAACTGAACATTCTCAACGGTCTATTAGGCGGTAGAATGTTCATCAATTCACAGAATGGAACACATTCATTCATTTATCATCAAGCCAATGTGATCATGAATCATGGTGTTTTTTATAAGGTAAGATACTATCACTGCTGGTTTAATCCAGTTTTATCATACTGCATGTGGCTATAGGGTGTTCGACGTCAGCAGTTCCTTGCGATTCCTTTAGCCATAAAGGGACTAACGCACTGTATTTATTTGTGCTCCTACTGAAGTAATTAAGAATTGGATCTCTTCGCTGTTTATCGATTCCATGTTGGAGTAGAGATGATTTTGGTCATTTAGTAGCAAGAGCCATGGCTGAATCATGGCTGTAGAATGTATCATTAATCGATCCAGTTATTGGAAACTAAGCAACAGTACTATCACATCCTACTATAGTACTAATAATGTGTAGTACCGGCAGTCATGTTAGAAAGTTTACTTCTCTTGGTATACTAACAGGCAGAGTTGTCCATCATGTGAATGTACCTTTACGACAACTTTTCCAATTCGTCAGAGGAATTTTGTTGATATCGTTACTGTAGTAAAAGAGAACTTGTGTAGTTTGAGTAAAGTACCCCACCGTGATGTTGATGGAATATATTTAGTCGTGTTTGGATTCTTCTGGAAATGGCGATACTCAACATTTTAAAAATTATTTTTTTCTTTAAAGCAAAGAGTATCTCGTATGTTGAGTATGATCAATACAAGGCTGTATCGTCCTTGATAGAGTTGATTTCTGAATAGGAAAAAAGTCTAATGTTAATCCATGGTTAGTGCAGTACTGACCATGGACCATCGAGACTGAATGATTTCATTCCGTTGATATTGAATAACTACAAGTTTACAAAGTCCATTGATGACTCTTGGAGTGTACAATCCCAATCAACTGATCAGCTTGGAATTCATTTTTTTTGTGAATGAATCTTGGCAATCAAGGCTGAACCAACATGGATCGGAAAAGACTCTGAATGTACGATCATGGATCGACCTGGGGCTATTTTTTGTTTGTCTTTTTCTCGAATAGAGGATTATATAGTACAGTCGTTTTCCATGGACTACAAGGTAAAACATTGCAAACAAACTGTAATCCATCCAAGTAGAGCATGATGAAAAGTATCGTTTTATGCAGGCTAAGAAAGGATTGCAACATTAACGAAGAGACTGCTGGAGTGCGATAAAAAAAATGTTTCTCCAAAAGTGTTTACTCATGGCTAATTTAAGATAAGATTGCGATGATAGCCTAGTTCTCCAGTATGGATCGCTATCTCGGGGTTATTAGATGGTGATGAATTGCCTTCCAACACCGTCCAATACAGAATCTAACGTGATTGGAGAGAAAAAGATTTCAACCACGATACATATACAGTACGGGAGTTTAGATTCATGTAGAAAGCAGATCTACTGCATACGGTAAACGACATATTCTATATTCTATGTCATATAAACAAGTCGGCCATTCAGCGAATACAATGAGCAATTGATACCGTAAGGTCCTAGCAAAAATTGATCGCTAGTCTCATGATGGTCGTTTATGAATATGAAGGGGTGAAATTTGGATGGTATGCAGTGCTTGCAGTCAGCAGAAAGTAAGCTGCCTTGTAGGAATAGTCTAATTTATACTGGCCGTTTTTTTTCCACTCCTGCAAGGGAATGCATAGCTATTAAAGTATAGATGTAGAAATGATGGACAACAACTAATCTAAAATGAATGCAAATTTGGATGTGGTCAACCCCATATCCAAGCGATTGAAAAGAGAGAAAATCCAAGTGAAAAATGAGGCCCCAATGGATGAAGAAGAAAAATGCACAAATAAAGAAATGGCTGTCATGGCTATGCTCATCCTATGCCCAATCGTTGTGTATATCGTCCAATTTGAACGATGGCCTTTTATCCGTGTTGACTACCTGATGTCGATTGACCGCCATGTTTGCCATACAGATGCTACTATAGTGTGTCGATGGTGTTGTTGAAGGGCTATTTGAAAGCGTTGAATTGAATATTGAAAGGTAGTACAAGTATGTACATGTAGTGTAATCAAGATAGTAAGGAATGGAAAGCAAATGGACGATGATCGTATTGATTGATCGATCTTCCTAGATTGAAGAAATGGACAACTACGCTTCCTGTAGAAGGGTAATTGACTTTACAATGCTGTACTGCAACACGGAAGAGAGAATGATAACAACGGGTACCATGACAAGACGAAAGGCATAGAAATGAGCCGACAAATCAATTTTACAACGAGTGACAATCCTTACCAGAATAGAATAGGCCGATCCAGTCATTTTCTAAACATGGTCCTTTAATATCCCATGATATAATAATACTTGAACCGATAGCCACTTCATTTGTACTGATGGATAACGTCGAGATTTCTTGATCAATGACTAAATTAGCCTGATCAGAAGTGGACGAACGATTGGGCCTAATCCTTGGCATGATTGATGATTGTCCTTTTATGCTGCAAGCAATCAAAGGTAAAAGCCATCGGTAACCATGAGTAAAAGGAATCAAACTACAGCGATCATGATCGTAGCTTGTACTAGACTCTATCAAGCTAATGCAAAAAATGGTGCTATCAACTAAGCAAGAAGAACGCAATGGATGACCATTGCAATGATGAGGATAGAAGGAATCGTCGGCAACTTTTTCTCTTCTCCACTCTTGCAACCGTGTTCCCTACGTCAGTGACGCCAATAACGAATGACTCGGATAGGGTTATGTCGGGGCATTTACACCGCTTTCGGTGGTAGTTGCAACATTGGAGGGGGTTAAGACATCGACTCAACTAGGATTGGCGCGGTCACCCACTTCATCCATAGAGAGATTGTTTACCGTCAGTGGTACCAGGGCACGATGGTCGTGGGGCCATCGTGCCCATAGTGAAACAATAAAACTAGGGTGGCGTACGGTAGGTTGTAAACAAATGGGTTTCTCATCGGTCATGCCTACCGTACCAGGACTGCAGCGATACTGTGCACTGTAGACTGTGGTGGACAGGACGAACGAAGAGCGCATGCTCGACCCTAAATTCGACTGACTGACTGACTATCCTGTACGATGAAGTAGTAAGAAATTGACTCCAACCATGATACGAGACAGTCAAGTGAGTCGATTGGTTTGGTCCAGTCGAGATCTCCAACTTTTCCGAGAACTATTTTTCATAGACTACAATCAAACGACTACAGCAACTCAACTCAATTCTAGTCTATGACTGAACTCCTGCAATGATGGTGCATTATTCTGTGACGAAAAGTGGAAGCTTGAAACCCTGACCATGTTTTTCTTACCTGCATGGCCCTAACTCACTCAAGTCCATGGTCCAACTGCGGCGTCGTTGTAGTACTGGACAGTGTACACTGTACAGTACGGTCGAGTTCCAGAACTGCTGTCGCCGCAGTATCGCTCGTGTTGCATTCTTAGTAAAAGACGATCACTCGGTCATTCCATGCATGCAACTCACTCAAGGCCATGGTCAAAGTGTAGCGTCGTTGTACTGTAGTTACACCTGAGCTACATAACAGCCTGTCACCGCAGTATCTCTCGTGTTGCATTCACAGTAAAAGACGATCACTTGGTCATTCCATGCATGCAACTCACTCAAGTCCAAGAACTGCTGTCACCGCTGTATCTCTCGCCTTGAATTCATAGTAAAAGACGATCACTTGGTCCTTCCATGCATGCAACCCACTCAAGTCCAAACCAAACCTTCGACAGGTGTAGTTGTAGTACGGCCGAGTTCCAGAACTGCTGTCACCGCAGTATCGCTCGTGTTGCATTCTTAGTAAAAGACGATCACTCGGTCATTCCATGCATGCAACTCACTCAAGTCTATGGTCCAAGTGTAGCGTCGTTGTACAGTAGTACGGTCGAGTTCCAGAACTGCTGTCACCACAGTATCTCTCGTGTTGCATGTCGACCGACCTACCGCAACTCATTCAACCTACTGTAAAACAACATGATTATGTCAATATTGGAGGAAGTAGCGTCTACACCAAGTTGATGCATACAACCATACAAAAACTGCTGGATATTGGGTCTTCATCGACGGACGGCCTATGCTAGTCCATGGCCTTTCACAGTGGAAGAACAATCTTCCATTGCTATGGATCGATATGGGGATAGTAGACGAAGTAAAATGTTACTTTGAAGAAAAATCAATATACGACTCCGCTGCATTCCATGGATAAAATAGAGTACAGTAGATTGGTATTTTATATCCATGCACATTAATGCACATTGCACACCCTAGCCCTGACCATGTTGCATAAATTATTTTACTTGGCACACTTCGTTTCAGCTGTCCTACTGATACATTTTAGACTGTATACAATTAGACATGGAATGACATATCTACAAAAAAAATCTAGAAATCGTCCAATCTCACGTGGAGTAAATTAAATTTGTGTCTTGCATCATCCCCATCAAAAAATAATTTGGATCAGTACGACAGCTTAAACCAAGTGTACAAAGTAATTGATGCAAAATGATCAGGGCCAATGTACAGTTACACTGTAAGGTATAGGCGAGTCGTACAGTATATGGATGTCGATCCAAAGTCATTTTACTAATATGGGCTGATATTATAAAATGAAACTTGACTGGCATTGATTTCGGGTTATTTTTTTGAACCACTTGATTGATCGTACAGCAAGTTGAAAATAGATCATAATCATCACTGCAATCGACATAGATTCTTTTTGAATACAGTCATACTCAATCTTTGCAAGGAATGATCTGTTGTAGACTGTAGAGTCGACATTAATTCATTAAATGTCACTTGATGAACAGTATATTCAAATTCAATCGTACCCAATCCTTGCCATGAAAAATTCAAAACGATACAGTATTCAAATATGGGCTCAATACAATTCGTATTTGATAACAAATTGAGTTCAATTCGTAATCAATGGGTAACCATTTCAAGTAATACCGGCCCAATACTAGCCAAAATGACCAATGATGGGCTCATGCCTACAGTGATTCTTTTCAAGTCATTTGTTAAAGTTCAAATTCAATCAAGCCACATATCCTTACCATCAATAAATTAATTAGATTAATGACACTGTTAATTATCACTCAATCTACTTTTATTCTTTCAATTCAATTATGCCTAATCCTTTGCCATGAATGATCGCGACAATCTACGGTTATTCTACTCGAGTCACTACAATATATGACATACTGTATAGAAATAACACCGCTAGGATAAATTGGCATCCATAAAATTATCCCTGCAAGCTCTACAGCCTATTTTTTTTTTTTTCTGGGGGGGATAGGTAACTTACAGGTTCATGCATGATTATACAATAGAACATAATATGGAAAGACTATTATAATTAGTCTAGTCCTAGTCAAGAGTCAAGAAAGCGCACTGTAGAGTACAAGTACAGTATTATTTACTAATTATTTACGAGTTATTTATTTATTTAAATCGTGCTCAAGCAATCTTGTACATCTCATCATCACGCTATACTTTCAGCCATAGAATCATTGTTTTACAATACTTTTATATTACAAAAGTAGACAACCCCATTGTAATAGTAAGCTTTTAGCAATCCATAACATTACTAATAGATTCCGCCCTAATACGTAACCATTTCAACAATATCAGCTTGTCAACAACGGCCTCCTTGATCTAGGATAATATACTATCTGAAATTAGCCGCGGTAGTCCATGCTCTACTACTTTCGATTGCCTATTTCCTGAATGCCAACTGTCGCCGTACTGATCTTACTTCTTCGTAGTCAACGACCCTAAATCAGTCTTTTCAGTATACATTCTATACTATATACTACTTTATATTGCATGGTTGATCTTCTGATTTTGCTTACCATAAGTTAAACGATGCAGAGATAGAGTTAACCTCATAGTAGAACACCTGAAATCAGTCTCTGCAATATCTACTATATTGCTTCGTTCATAGACACCAATCATCGCCAACTTCGTACTTGCGATTTTACTTTTTTATGGTCAAGTACTGTATACTATCAGAAATGAGTCACTATCGTACATTGCATGTTGATATTCGCCAACATCATATATTGATTTTGTTACCATGTACTGTAGTCTAGCGATGCTACATAGATACACTTTGCTTCGCATTATACTATCTGCAACGTGCATAATTCATAAACGCTAACCGTCGCCAATATCCTACTGATGCTGCTAGTCAAGTTATGTACACTATCTAAAAGGAGCATTACATTACAAAGTTGATAAACGCCAATCTTCACCAAGATCCCATCGATGCTGCTTTCATGGACTGTCATGTACAGTAACCAAGTGATAAAGAGGCTATCGCATAGAGATCAAAAAATAATGACTACCTGACCAGCAGGTGTGCAAATTGAACAATGCCACCCAGAATTCAATTCGAAATTTTTAAATTCCAACTTGCAGTAAAAGATTAGCCTCTCACAGAACTGAACTGGGCTACAGACGAGAAATTGGAATATCCGTTTGTATATGGAAGCATTGCCGAACATTAGGATCGATACTCAGCTGTGCCAGAATACGGTTACTGCTACCCTGAGTGCAGCAATCCCTGGCAGGTGTAGAAACTATCTTCTGTCTAGAAAATATCAGATGGCCGTCATCAAAATAAAATAATTAATCATTGTCCCCAACATGATACAAAATCTCCTATCAAGTATCATTCAACAGTCAATCATGACTAAATGCACATTCTCGATAATGAAGGAGGGAAAGTAAAGAGCAAGGATGACGACTACCTTATTGATGATGACTGATAATATTAGGAGGAATTTTGCTATACCTGTATACTTTTCAGCCTTAAGGCCGTCATGATGTAATATGTAGACCTGATAAAGGTTCGGTAAATAATAATCTGATTATTCAATTGGCTCTGTTACGCTCAAGAATGCATTCTATTTCAATCGTAGCGTTACAGATGTTACAGATTAGAAGACAGTCATGGATTACCTCATTTCATTAGCTTGTAAGCTGTTTGTACAGCTGTTACCAACATTTTCTATCCATCTTTTGATACTCTTGTATCATTTTACATGCCCTACCTCTAAGTGCTGCTGTAATAAAAGTGTCTCACAATAACTATCTTAGTCAAATAGTATTTTCTAAAAGGTTTTATTACAAGGTTTTTAGGAATAGTGGAGCAATAATTAATCACTACAAGAATCGAAGAAGTGAAGTCTCTTCTCCCTTGAGCTCATCTCTGTAGTTCTTATACAGTACAGTATATATACACTTCGTTAAATCCATTTATGACACTTGATTAATCTACAATCAGATATGAGTCATCAAAACAAACTACTTTTCTCAAACAGTACATCATTATCTTCGACAATCTAAATCATCCTACTTAGTATGCCACTACTCTTCTATTCTATTAACGTCTAGCCCCTTTCTCCGAAGGGCATCTTAACAACTACAGCGTTTCTAGCTATATCAATGTTGTACCATAATTGGTCAACTGGCTACTATCAGTCATCAACAATTTCTAATATAGTAGTTAGCAATCATCTAATATTAGCTTCAGGATAGTATCTATTTAAAGTAATCTAACTATATCGAATATAGCTATTAACACAATCAAATATAGCCATCATTATAATCAAATATAGGTGCATCACTACAGCTGCATCAAGTTGTTGCCTTCATCCTCCGACTGATCCCTACATCAAAGTGTATAACGTAGAAATTCATTCAAGTAAGGCTAAAATGCAAAATAGGTTGTAAAAATAGGCGCCTAAATCTTCGAACTGAACTACAGTACAGTCACACACACACTGGCAAAATAATTTTAACTAGCAGTTTATACCCGTTCTACGAACGGATAAAAAACCTCATCAAAAGTAAACGTATGACTATGACTGGAATATTTCATGACACAATATGACAGATTTAATGATACAGTAGCTAGCGGTACTCTCTAAGGACACCAGCTAACCAATTTCAGGTGCGATTGATCGATATCGTAACTATCGAGTAATAGGTTGTTAGCGTTCAGCTTTGCATCAATGCAAATGACAATAAAAAGGCCATTAGAGAGCATGTTAAAAGCTTAATTACATGAAACTAATCAAATGTTGAATAATAGAATATGGCTAGGGTTACGTTATTTTAGAATTCAAATACGGAATTATATCTATTCGATAATAAAAAAATAATCGGATAATTGGATAAGGGTGGGGATGGACTATTGTCATTGGTGGTCTAAAAGCAAATAAAATTGAACTTAGTAGCTGTAAGCAAGAATTGTTGACATAGACTTCAAGGATAGTTTAACAATGTACGGCAGTGTAATGCAACCTGTCGATAGTTGTATTTTTCCAATTCGTTTTAAATCAAGTAAACATAGCCAAGATAGACCATAATACGTGTATATCCATAAACACGTCATCAAAAATTAAACAAGTGGACCAATGTAGTTGACGGCCATTTTCTATTGACAATCATCGCATATTAACTTTTCCATGAATAGACTCGTATCCCAGTTTAGACATAATTACTCCATCGTCTTAAACGTCTGCATGCTACTCATAGTGGAATCCTTGATATAGACATAGGCAACTCACTTCCGGTATCCTATCCTACAAATCCAACATAAAGTCATTAAAGTAGGATAGAATGAAAGCATTTTCCATTACAACCACTCCATATTAACATTTCCCATGAATAGGCTTCTATCTCGAATTAGACATAATTACTTTATCGTTTTAAATATCTACATACTATTCATAGTGAAATGCTTAAATAAAACGCAGGCAACTCTCTTCCGGTATCCTATCCTGCATATCCAACGTAAAGTCATCAAAGCAGGATAGGATGAAAGCATTTTCTATTACAATCATTCCATATTAACTTTTCCCATCGTTTTAAGCACTTACATGCTATTCATAATGGAATGCTTGAAACAGACATGGGCAATTCACTTCTGGTATCCTATCCGGTAAATCAAACTTGAAACACCAAAATAAGATGGAATAAAATAATTCTGAACAGCATAACTACTTAAGTCAATTAATTTTATAAATAGACTAGAAAGAATACTGATAGACATCGGAGCTGGGACTGGAGTAGCCCACAGGCATCTTGAGCCCTCTGATGTCATACTCTGATAGCTATTACAATATTTGAGCTTATTAAAAGATTGTCTAAAAGACAGGTATGTTTTTTTAACTTGAATCGGCGAAATGAATTATAGCACAAGTTGATAAAAGAGATTGCGTCGATAAAATACGTTAATGTTATGCAAACACACATACTGTAAATAGACGCGAGCTGATATTAATCGTAAACCACTAGATTTCAAACTTAATAAAAAATCAACATATTGATCAACAGCATAATTATATATAGCTAGTTAATTCATGCTTCTAGAAGGATCAAGTGATGGTAAGAATGTAAATCATTTCAAGTAGAAATATATTCGATAGACTGACCAAGTTCATCCGTCCATGTTACGATTTATGTCGTAGAACTGATGACATCACGGTATTTCATTCATCTGGAGCACTGCACCTTTATACTATTTGAATGAGTTACTCACATACGGAATTTTAATGCAATATTGCAGACATAATGTAAAAGCTAATGCAACAAAATGAATCACAATGATCTGATACGGTATATGTTACCTTAGAAGATTGATGTTAATAATTCCTAACTTAGATCACATCATGCTGTCGTGGCTAGTTATACCTTATTCAACACTGAAGCCAATAGATTGGTTAATTGTACGTGCATAGAATGACCTCGATTTCTCAATTTATGTTACAAGATTGATGATAATATTTAAAGTCTTTTCGTAAAAGTGTACTAATGTTCCATGCACAAGATCGACGATATCGTTCGTTTCCCTTCTACTGATGGTAAAATATTCCATGCTTATCGCGTCCTGACTATCATACCACAACATAAACTGTCTCGATTAATTATCAACCAGCTGTAGCTCAATTTCTCTTATTAACTCTCGCATTCAAGAAATCACAAGAATAGTCTAGCATAATACTCTTTATTTTATTTCTGATGTGAACTTATATTACTGCGTTAATTAAGTTACATCTACACGAATTACATGTTTAATACTATAAAATCAATATTAAAGTCAAGGGTTACGCTTAATCACCCGTTACCCTATCAAAGTTAGTAAATAACAGCTGTTTATTTAAAAATGATGAAATCGTTTTATATCAACTAACTATTATACGAAATCTGATATCAAATCTCAGTTACTAACGGTGTAACGATAAATACCCTTAAACAATACAAATGATATTGTTAAATTCAAAGGTTACTTTATAGTAAATAAATCTTTCACCGGTGCTGATTCTATAGTCCATATTAGACATTATACT